TGGTCAGACCAGTAAAAAACCCCAAACTAGGACAATTTAATCAACTAAAAAGAAATAATTTTTCTTTACTCCAATACGGTGGAAACTAGAATCTGGTATAGACTTAATGTCGTTTTTTTAAATCACAGGTTCCTTGGGAGATGAAAGTTTTAAGTGTGTCAAAGAAAGTTAGGTGTTGTTTTTTTTTTTTTTATAAAAGACTCATTGCAGGGTCTGATGGATTCGACTGCTAAGGAGTAGAGGATGTATCTCGGTGCAATGAACAATAGACTAATTCAGCTGTAGCAATGGCATTACTACAGGGACAGGCTTCTCAAACTAGAGGCACCATTTTCAAAATCAAATACATATTGTCCCTCATTTCAGAAATGTCAAGCATGCTGTAAACAAGTTCTTAGTACATCATATGCTTTAGAAACTGCATGACAAAGACTGGAAAGGAAGCTATTCTCTGAGGGTAGTCAGTATTAAAATAGCTTGTTTTTAAGTGTAAGCTACAGATAATAGCCAACAAAGATAGGGCTGTGGTCATCAAAAGCAGAATTATCATTTTAGCTTCCCACCATTGACACAGACTGACATTTCCTATTGAGTCTAAAGGCAATGTGTTGGCCCTTCCTCAACAACTACCTGTACAATGTGCATATTACTTGTACCGCAAATGCCTCTTGGTGCACTATAAAGCACATGTGTATCAGTATGCTTTGCACCAATAACAGTATTTACTGAATGAGCTCATAGTGTCTTAAAGAAGGAATAATCTCATCCAAAAAACTGGTACAGTGTGATTCTGAGTAGGTGGAGAAAGTGCTACTTTTTGCGTTGATATTGGTGTTGGAGTTCATTTGTTATTTTAAATTTTTTTTAGAATCTATAGAATATAGTTTCTAAATAGTGCTATATTCAGATGGATGTAATGAAATTCTGACTCTTCCAAGGGGAAAAAAAAGGCATTTTGGTAACAGATCTATCCAGAATTAGGCAACAATAACTATTTAAAGCATTAATTGTGAGGATTTCTGAAAAACAGAAATATCTGATTAAATTAAAAGTGCTCAGCACTTCTTAACATAAGATCCATTATCATAATGTCATGAGAAGAAGCCCATGGAGCTCAGATGAAAATGATTATTGTGTTTCTGGAGCAGGACCACAGGCAGTTCATGACCACCACCCCCCCATTTTGTATTGCTTTACTAGTCATTTGCTTTCTGCCCTGAAGACGCACAGTATCATCACGAAAAAGCACAAGATGTAATCCAGTGTAATTTCATATAAACAGTCTGCCCTACACTTCTACTGTTCACAATTGTTAAATATTATGCAAAAAATGACATAACGCATGCTTCCCACTTCCAATTCATCTTCCATAGGTCCATTTTTTCAGGGAAGAAATAAAGGAAAGAGATTAATTCTAGCATTCTTCCAGTCATTACAAGTATGGGAGTAATATTGCATGGTGCACATGTAGCCTGGGGATCGTTAGGTGCTAGACGTTCCCTTCTGTTCTCAGTCCAGAAATCTGGTTATGTGACATCTCTCAGCGTGGGAGTATGAATTGGCAGCTCAAGCTGTTGGAGCATCATCTTACAGTATATAGTAGTTGCACTGAGGCAGTGTATTTCAGATGAGCCTTAAATCTTCAGGATGGGCTTCTGTAGTATATAAATCTGAAATCCCCTGGGCCAAAGTTTTTATAAATGTTCCCTTGCCACTCAAATTACATCCTAAAGCTCCCTTTGAAGGGCATGGAGTCCATTCTCAGCTGATGTAAATTGGCCCTGCTGCACTAAAGCCAGAGGAGATTCACACCAGCTGAGAAAGTGGCCTGAAATCATTATAACAGTGACCAGAAACTGCTTTTATAAGCTATTCTCCACCAACAGAAAGCATATGACAAAGTACTAAAAGCTTTTATGTTTAGAATTTCTTTGAAAATATATTTTTCTGAGGACTAAGATGAATGTTACTCCAGAAATGAACATCAAAACCATACAGTGAAATTCTGGAGCTGTCAGTTTAACATGTGTAACAAGAAAAATCATAGTGCGGCTTAGGAAATACTTTCAAAAGCACAGTTTAGTCAGTGAGAGGCAATATAGATTACATAGAGAGAAAAGTGTGCTTTAACTAATGTATCTGTGAGTGTCTGTAAGTATTAATCAGTGTAGACAAGTAAAATGGAGTGAACAATATATAAGAAAGTATTTGATTAAGCAGCTTACTAAGTTTTGGCCAATGAGGTACAGAAAAAACCTTTGTGGTACAGAAGGAACCGTGTTTAAAATGACTTGAGGAAGGGAATGTTATCTCAAACAAGGAGTGGTTCTAACTAAGAACATTTTAAAGACCAATTAAATTATCACTGAACTGACTTTTGAGTTTGGTCTGGTTTTCTTAATATTACATTATCATGGACTAAAGTATGACTTGGATTATCTGCCTGTGCAAATGAGGAAGAAGGATAAAAAACAACCATATAAAATCTTTCCTTGAAAATCTGTATTGGCTGTCAGGAGATGTGGCCTGGGCACACAGGAATAGGAAAATGCATATGGTTACTGGATTTAAAGAGCTAGTAGAGAAGGAACAAAGACACCTTTAGCTTTAATGTATCTGCCTTCTGGAAGTCCCCAACCTATGTGTTGTCTAGAGTAGCTCAGACATAGAAAGATAGGAGTGAAAGATAAATTACTTGCTTCAGAAATTGTGAGGAAGCAGTGGAAGAATTTTGACTTTGAGAGGTGCTTCTGCATCAAATCTGCCACAGTTGAGTCTGGCTGAAGAGGCTCACATAAAAATCTCTTTTCTTAGTATTGTATCCTAGGTCTGTAGTAAACACTCGCCCAAAAGCAAGACTAAAGTCTGTCTGAGAGTTTCCCCTGATCCAGCTTTGTTTAGCTCATTAAAGGTTCAGCATTTTGAGGGCCTTTTTACTGTTCCTAAGTACAGCTCTAAGCACCTGAATTTCTGAGTCTTCCCTTTCCTGGTCCACTGTCTCTTGTAAGTGTTTTGCTTAATTGCCTCTCTTTCTTGCCCTCCTGTTTAGTTTTCTGAATCTTCCTTGGCCACAGTGTTGCATTCAGTGCCAATTATTTTAATTTACTGAACACAACAAACAAGATCCAGTTCCACTTAGTATTTCATCTTCCTTGAGAGATTTATGTCTCCAATCTCTGCTACATTACTGAGGCAAACAATGAATTGAGTTAAGAAAAGTAGTGAATGGTGCTGATTCTGTCAATAACATCAATTGCTATTTCTCAGAGGTTGCGTGATTTCACTCAGTGACCTCTTGTTCCATAAACTTATATTCCTCTTGTCAATCTTCCATTAATTATCTACCTTCTGTTTTTCTTTCAAAAAAAAGAGAAAGTTTTTATAACAGCAGGTAAGTTGTCTGAAGAAATAAATTGTGAGCAGACTAAAATCATGGGCAGGATTATGCATGGCCTGGTAGGTATGTGTTAACACATGCAATATATGTGAAGGACTACAGACATTCAATTATTTCTACTTTCAGTGGAATAATTTTGTGATATACTGACATTTGGTATCCCTATCGGACATTTGGAACAGTAAGTTGAGACAGTATAAATTAAATATTTACATAATTTTTTATTTACATAATTGCACTTTAGATATTACTCACCATACATTTCTGGGTTAATTTAATGTTACATGGCTGTGTCACATTTCTCTCTGCCAGCATCAAAATGGCAGAAAGGAAAAAGCAAACATGCAGCGGAAATAAAGTAACTATAAAAGGTGGTCATCTGTCAGTAGAACAAAATATACTGCTTTGTGGTTTAACACTGAACGGAACTGACATTGACAAGTTTAGTTGCGTAAATCATAAACTTTCAGGTTTCAGGGCAAATCCATGAAACTTATCTCTGTCTCATGTTTTTGGAGAGGCGGGGTTGGAGGGATGGGTGGCCCAAGCCTATATATGGGCAGTTCTGCTCTGGCAAGTGAAGAACTAGGAAACAGACCTCTTTTGCCAAAATCCTGAATCCATATCTATCTGTGTTCTGTTAGGCTATTCTTTTAAACATTTTCACAGAACACAGATGCTTTGCAGAGGCTGAAATACAAATCCACAAAATCTGCCATGATTACCCCAAATATAGAAAGGAGTATAGAAATACAGATGACCCAACCACAACTTGTGCAGTCATTTTTCTTGTTAGTCTGTTTAATTCCATCCAATATATTTCTGTGAAGCAAAACCACCATGATGGTGAATAATTTCCTGATAGTGCAGGGATATTTAGGACTTATCTTTTCTAAATGGAGGCTTCACCATCTGTTCTGCCCTTTTATTACAAATAGAGAGGGAACCTAACTCACTGCCTCAGCACATAAAGGCTAGCATTGAAATGATTTAGATGTACATGTGTGTTCTTTATGCACCTGGTATGTTTTCTCACATACCAAACACAAATCAGTGGGAAGACCTGTCTCTTGTAACCTATTAAATTCTCTGATCTAGTGCCTTTATTCCTTTCTCACAGAAGCAGAAATTGATGGCCAGTAGTTTGCATTTTATTAGGACAACTATGACTCTGTTGCTGTCTTGCAGGAGTTATATCTGTATTGGGCTGACATTTTGTGATACCATTTACCTCTTTATGGAAAACGGCCCTTGATTCCTATTCTTTCCTCTTGCTGGGCCTACGTGAACTTCATCATGGACACAAACCTTGTAAAAGATGTGCTGAGGATGTCTGAGACTGATGAAAAGCACTGTCCTTCCCCAAAGGATGCCATACAATCTCCCTTAAGACCATTAGAGAAGGAACATATTCTCTTCCGAGCAGCACAGGACCAGAAACTCCAAAATGCATCACACTGCATCATTTTTACTGCTTTAAATGACAAATTTTGCAGTAGGTAAGGAAGGCAGGTGCAAGTTACCACATATCATGCTTTCTATACCAGAAGACTGATTGCAGGCTCAATGCAAATGTTAGTTCAAATATATCCTCAGGGCCTACCTGTATTGTAGCCCCTCCCAAGTGCTGGCCAGGGACGATGATTCTTCCAAAGGTTGCCTAAATACCAATCGCTTTGGTTCTCCACCAAGCCAAGAACCTGCTGCCCTGGAAATGAGCAAATTGCAAAAAGATCATAAGACAAAAGAGAGTCAGCCAGTGGAAAACAAACACAAAATTTGCAGAGTGACAGCCAGTAGAAAGAGAAGATAGAAGTTGGGGTGCTGCCTGTGTTTCACGCATTGGAAAGATGCCTGCTTATATAACAGACAGCAAGCCTGGCACAGCAAACTCAGCATGGCTCATTTTTTTCCTTCTCCCCTGGCTAGTTTGAGTAATTAAACACTGTGGGAACCTTTGTCATGCTGACAAAAATATATCACCCAGACAAATCTGAATGCTGCTTGATTCTGGAATACAATGATGGAGAATCCTCCCAGTGAGAAATAAGTGTTGGTAAAATTATCATCTAATATGAAGGTCTGTTCATACTCTGATGGAGATAATATAATTGAACAACAAGGCTCCATATAACAATTTATTCTCTCCCTCCCCCAAAGTTTCAGGGATTCTTTTCTCAGTCACAAAGGAAATGCCTTTTGCTCAGGAAAATATTAGATTTTAAGAGTTTTAAGAAAGTTGCACTGTTTTAATTTAAGAGTAATTTAAAAGTCATTTAGGTAAGCCTGTGTGGAACGCTGCACAGAAATTATGATTTCAGTTTTAGATGGGCTTATTTTGGTTTAGCTTACATTGATTAGCAGCTGGCTTCAGCTAAAGTAAAATGTGTTTTAAATCAAATGTGTCTAGAAGGTTTGCATTGCTTAAAAATGAACTGAAAAGTGAATGTTTGTATAGATAAGGACTTAATTATCTGCCCTGAAATATGCTGTATATAATGTAAATTAGAGAAGTGATTGAAATGATGCTCTGGTGAAGGAGGTTGGAGGTACGGGGGAAACTGCATTTGGATCTGGTCAGAGAAAGGAAAGGGAATGGTGTTTTGACAGAGGGACCTGCTCAGTGACAGAACTAAGACTGGGACTGGAAATTATTTTGCAACCTTTTGAGAAAGCAATTAAGCGTCATGCTTTGAAGGCACATTTTCAAATCCCAGCTATGCTCATAAAACTGGGTCTGTGGTCACAGTGGTGCATTGAAAGCACAGAATGAGCATTATATGTTGCTTATGTAGGCCCATAGCTCTATTACTAAAATTTCAGTATGGCCCAAGACAAGATTGGGCTGAGAAGCAAGACAAAAAGACAAAAGTGATTAATTCAATTTTATAATCAGCTAAGAAGACATTAAGATAGGTCAGTTGATTGCGACACTCTCCTGCAGTATCTCTAATCAGGTGGAACATCAGTAACCCCTACACGTGCTTTGAATGCTGTTTCAAAAAGAGTAAGCAGCAGTGAGTGGCAAACACATATAACAAATAGATCAGAAGATTACAAAAGCATTAAAAGAGTGAACAGAAATCAATCTAGAAATAACCTTGAGAGATTACCTCAGGATTATCCTACTCTATCCTAATCACAACATGCCAGTCCTCACCAGACCTCATTTTCTAATGATGTCCCTCCTTTATGCATAATATATATGTTTAAATTCTCACATTATACTTCAAAACTCATTTTTTAAGAAGGTGGAAAACATGGGGAAGAGCAGAAAGGATCATATAAAAGACCACCACACATTTATCACCTCATTGGTGATACCGAAAACTGGTAATATTAACAGACAGCAATGCACAAGAGAATGAAGGAAATGACAAGTTTAGAGGCAGATGCACCCTAAGCAACTGATGATTTGTTCATACAAATAAACTGTAGCATCTTTCAACCAGTGAGACACATGGAATGGGACACACTAGGCAGCACATGAGGTGCCACACACCATATATTGTGAGGAAATATGAAAGAGATGTCAACTGGCTGAAACAAATCTTAGCTGAAAAAAGTTGAAGGGCACAATTTAAACCAAGACTTGATTTTGTGCTGGAAGACTGCCTGTTCTTTATAATCGCTCCCTTACAGTTGAATACAGTAGAATAAATCAGAGCAAGAAACTACCATGGCTAGTAAAGGATGAGGATGAGAAAAAAAAACAATAAAAAGTGCAGGTGCAGCTGGGCTGGAATGGATTGGCACAGCTGGTAGGAAGAGAGTGACCATATTCTAACAGTGCCTTTCACAACTCAGCAGTCCACAGATCCTTCTCAGCATAGTACTGCTAACATCAAAAGAAATGTTAGAATTCCATTTTCAAGAAGCAGATACTAACTTCCTTACCATGAAGCATCAATCTGCTTTCATTATTTTAACACCATGCATTTCTCAACGATCCACAGACTTTAGCCTTCAAACTGATGAATAATAAAAAGTGAACAAACTTTGCTGCTTGTTAATGGTTTTCCTTTCCCACATACCAGTCTAAAATCTCAGTTCTGACAATGTACCCCTGAAATACTTATTTCTCAATTATTTATCATTCTACTATAAATAGCAAAAGCTCAGTAAATTATGTTTGTGCATATTTATTGTAGCTGTATTATTTCCTTCCCCTTTTTCTCTTTATTTTTGAAGACACTAGAACAAATCCTGCTCTTACCAGTATTCCTTGAGGTTTTATATGGGAGATGGATGAAGGCAGAAATTAACATGTTAAGCTTTAAGGTTTAGATCCATGGATCAGATAATGTGACTTACTGTGTACCAGAGCTGGAATAACTGTCCTTACATGTCCTTTTAGCTTATCACAAATATAAAGTAAAATGTGTTAGCTAACACACTTCAGTTGCTTTTGCAATGGCCTGGGAATGTGCACATGTTCATGTGCTGTCCTAGGGTAGAGCATTATGCAACTTGTCAGGCTGTTGTAACTGTTGTGGGTGTCTAAAAACCTACCAGGCAGATGTGACAGCTTGTCACCCAAGCTACCTTGGAGAAAGTTATGAAGATATGTTTCATATCTTCTCTAGTTATATTTCTGTTTTCTCTAGGCTGGAATAGTGTTGCTGCTTTGCCAGAGAAAAAAAAAAAAAAAATTATTTCCTTTGACATTGTCTCTATGATCTTAACTTAGGGCAGAAGTCATCAGGAAACCAGAACTTCAGCTGCATAGCAAATATTAATGGTTCTAAAACCCATTCTTGTTCTGAATCAGTACAGAAAAAAGAAATCAGAAATATTATCTGGAAAAAAATCTGAAATATTTTGATCTCAAGATATCAAAATAACCACATCTATATGTACAACCTTCCCCATTTTAAATAATATCAGTGACACATAATACAGCTGCATAACATATACCATATATATCACATTATGTATCTAAAAGTTCAAAAAAAGTAAAATAATAAATTTTGCCCTTCTAATTTTGAGCAACTAAAAATCTTTCACTCAAAGCTTTCATCATAATTTTTTTATATTCATGAATCATTGTGGGAATATCTATCCAGTGTATTTGAGCATTACCAGTTATTTCATTCAGTTATTTACTTTTTCAAAAGAATTATGAAGTTACAGAAATCAGGCAGTGGCCAAAGCAATGCATGGTGTCAAACACACACAGTAAACACTTCCCTTGCCCACAGTTCTCTGACCATCCATCAGTGCCAACCTGTCCCTCTGCCACTCTTCATGCCTCTCCTCCAAGGTGTCTGCAGTTCTGTGGAAACTTTCACCAGATTCATTTCACCTCTCATCGTACCACAATCTCAGTATAAATTTTCTGAGGAGACTGGAGTTCCTTCCCATCACAGCCTTTTGTAAAAGGCAAGCATTGTGAGTTATTCTTCCAGCAGTTAAGAACACAGTGGCTACCATCAAGAATTTGAATCTTTCAGCATTCTGAGCTGCCTGTTTCTTCTTCCTAAAAGTTATTATATTAAAATACCATCACTAACAGCAAAAGCTCTGTCATTGTTTTCTGCTCTGGCTCTGCAGTTATGATTAAACACATGCACTTACTCTGTAACTCCAGGCACAAGCTAGCTTACAAAAATGAAGCTGCCTTCTCACTTATTCATACATCATCACTAACAGCCAGACAACAGAAAACAGGACTATAATCCTGGCATGACCATGGTGAAAAATTACTGAGCAGGCAGAATTATAGCTGGATTGTTGGGAATGGGGCTGTACACTGACTGGCTGCAGGATGGGACTTCTCCAGAAGGCAGCTGCACAGCTACAGCATTTTGCACAGTACAGCTCTATGACAGCTTTCACACGATGACAAGTGCTTCTCTCCTTGCAAAAGCTGAGTTGTGGCTGGGAAGAGGTTTCCATGGAAAGCCAGACACTTCTCAGCCTGACAACTCAATGCTTTCAATTCTGTTTTCACTTTATAGATTTTTGCTGGCTAATATTGGGGAAAGCATGATACTCTAATTCAGACACTGAAGTCACATATCAGCCTCTTGCTCAATTCCCTCTTAACAAAAATGAGGATAACAGTAACTATTATCCCTCTCCCATTTTGCCTCTAAAACATTGCAAATATAAGTCATCTGAGGTAGTAAATGTGTGCTAGTTTACTGGAAGCCTAACAGCAGCTGCATATGGCCAGGCTGAAACTCCATCGTATTGCGTCTCCAGCAGCAGGGAGGAGCTGTGCAGTGTGGAGCACAACAGTGCAGCTGGATGGTGGCACTTTTTAATGGTGGTGCTCCAGCTTCCAGTGACTTGTGGCACATGACACATCTGAAAAAGTATCAGCTTTTATTTACATTGTCTGGTATCTGCTAGTTTCATCTAGTGCCCAGTACAATCTGGGTGTCTGTGAACAGTATTTTCCTACACTGCCCTGATGTTTTCCCAGTTTTAGAGTTCTCTAGAGTCTTTGGTACAAAGGATCCTAACTCCAGCTGTTGCTGTATTTTGCTATTACAAACAATAACAATAGTAGTAAAAATATTATACTTTTTTTTTTTTTTTTTTTTTTTTGGTATACGTGTGTCTTAGAGACTACAGTGCCTTTCACATGACTCCATTGCAATCACAATAAAAGCAATGGGCCCACAGCAAATACTTCGTGTGAGTTGCATTTTCTGTGGTCCTCAGGACATCAGACAGTTTCTGGAAAGGGACAATAAAAAG